CACAGCCTGGCCTCTCCCAGCTGCTGCCGCAGGGTTTTCTCAGGCCAGCGGGCTCATCTCGTCAGCCCCCAGGATGCAGGGAATTAGCCCCGGCACTCTCAGCCTTATCGGGACGGCGTCTGCCCACCACACAGAAGCATCTGCCGGTTCCCTCCAGCATTCCCTGTCCCGGGCCGCTGGAGCCTGAGCTTAGCAGCACCCTCCCTGCCTCCCACTGGGGCCATGCAGCCGGGCTTAGACACGCCGCCCCTGCTCCTCTCCTGTGCGGTGGGCAGCACAGTGCGCTCCCACGTGCAGCCTGGCGGGATCCAGCGGTCGCCTTCCCTGCCAGCTCTCCAGTGGGACGGGGCGCCTGGCCGGATGGTAAAGCCTGTTTTCCTTTCCCCCTCCAAGGACATCATCAACTCCATGAGCAACAGCACAGCGACCAGCGCTTAGACACGCCGCCCCTGCTCCTCTCCTGTGCGGTGGGCAGCACAGTGCGCTCCCACGTGCAGCCTGGCGGGATCCAGCGGTCGCCTTCCCTGCCAGCTCTCCAGTGGGACGGGGCGCCTGGCCGGATGGTAAAGCCTGTTTTCCTTTCCCCCTCCAAGGACATCATCAACTCCATGAGCAACAGCACAGCGACCAGCAAGCCGGCTCCAAGATCAAGGAAATCCGGGAGGTGAGGCAGAGCTGGGCCCGTGGCTCCCCTGGGAATGGAAACCGGCCTTGCAGCCTCTGCAGCGGGCCCCCAAGCGGGCAGCCACCCAAACTGGACCCCTCCTGCGGGACGCCTGCCACGCATGCTGACCAAGGCAGGGCCCCAGGCTGTCCCACGGCTCTGGCCCCGGCCCCCCAACGCTGAGCTGGCCTGGCCTGGCCTGCCATCTCCACGCAGTGCGTCGCTGGCCACAGCAAGCAAGTGCTCAGTACGGGGGAGGCGGTGGGTGTGGTCTCGCACCCCAGCGTGGCTACACGGGAGGGGGCTGGGGTGTGTGCAGCCTGGCAGCTGCGGTGCCTCCAACGAACTCTTCTTCCTCCCTCCCCCCTTCCCGCTTGCTCCAGGCCCCAGGGGCCCAGGTGCAAGTGGCGGGGGACATGCTGCCCAACTCCACCGAGCGGGCAGTGACGATTTCGGGGACCCCCGACGCAATCATCCAGTGTGTCAAACAGATCTGTGTGGTGATGCTGGAGGTACCGTCTGTAGCAGTGGGGGTAGCGTGTGCAGGAAAAGCTCTCGGCAGCGCAACCCCGGGACGGCTGTGGCTGCTGCTGTTCACCCTGTTGCCGGCTCACAGGCGTTTCCTGGTACCATTCCTTTGAGCTGCTCGTGCCGCAGGCCTGCCCCGCCACCGCGCCCCGGCTGACCCCGAGGGGGGAGGGGCAGCCAGCAGCTGAGCCATGGGGAGTCTTTTCCCAGGCGTAGGAGGCCGTAGGCTCTCTGCCTTAGCCGGAGAGGGACGCAGAGGCATCGTGCAGGCCTAGGGCTGCCAGGGGTCCCGTATTGACCCGGACACTCCAGTATTGTCGCCTCCTGTCTGGTGAAAACATTCAGCAAATACTGGACACCTACAATGCCCTACAATGGCCGCTATTGTCTGATTTTTCCCTGGCCAGGAGGCGAAAATCCTGGGTGCTTACCTGGTCCGCAGGGGAGCTGTCCGACCTGGAGCAGGGAGGCAAGATGTCGCCTTCTGTTAGGACCAAAAAGCCTCAAAAGCATTTCTTAGAGGCCCCACGCTGGGTTTTTTAAATTTAAAAATTTTTTTTTGCTTAACAAATCTCAGGGGTGTTTTCTCAACAACTTTGGTCTCTCCCTTTTTTTTCTCAACAGAATTTTTTCCCCGGTGTTTTTTTTGGGGGAGGGGGGCCGGTATTTTTGGTTAAACCATCTGGCAACCCTACACAGGTCCACACTGGGGCGTGGGGAGGGCCAGGCCCAGTGAGCGCTGGAAAGATCCCTTTGGCCTGGCCTTGGAAGGAGGGGTGCTGGTGCTGTGCGAGGACCGGGGCGAGGGGGTCACTGTGGTGGGCATGAGAGAGGGCAGGGATGAGCCTTATGCAGGCTGAGCCGGGGGATTCTTGGCAAAGGGCCCGGGGCGGGGGCAGCTGGGAGAAGGATTTTGGCCGAGGGGGTTTGAAGCAGCAGGCAGGCAGGGCGCTCCTGGGTCCCAGGGCTGGTCGCCAGCGTGTCTGGGCGCGAAGGCTTCCTGTGAGGTTCTCGATGCTCGCCCTGCCGCTGCAGAGAGCCGCTGTGCAGGCCCCATGGCGTGGAGCAGCAACACGCCGGCGTTCCAGCCTGGAATCCCACCGGAAGGGCCGCCCCCGGGTTTCTTTCCTGCCCCAGCAGCGCTTCGGTCAGCAGACAGACTCGGCCTGTGCCCGGCCCGGCCTTCCCCCCAGGTGGCCCCCAGTCGGCAAACGGCACCTGCTTGTGGCAGGGCGAGAAGGCAGAGGGAGTGTGGCACACGGCTGCACGGCGGCTCCTCTGTCCCAGCTCACTTGCTCCCCCAGCACAGTGCGGGTGTGTGCACGTGCATGTGTGGTCGGCTCGCACGCTTTCCACCGCCGCCCCCACTCAGTGGCTAAGCAGGGGGCCTGCCCCGGGTCCCCAACACGGTCCCTTTTCGCAAGTGCAGCGAGATCCCAGGCCAGGACCCCACTAGCGGTATGGCCATTGCCTTTTAAACCCGGGAAAGCGCTGCCCACAGCGTGCGATCCACACGGCTGCTTGGCCGCAGGCTGGCGTGAGATGCCGCCCGAGAGGCGGGGCGATCTCCCAGTCTTTGTGGGAGGGCCTGCCCCGGGTCCCCAACACGGTCCCTTTTCGCAAGTGCAGCGAGATCCCAGGCCAGGACCCCACTAGCGGTATGGCCATTGCCTTTTAAACCCGGGAAAGCGCTGCCCACAGCGTGCGATCCACACGGCTGCTTGGCCGCAGGCTGGCGTGAGATGCCGCCCGAGAGGCGGGGCGATCTCCCAGTCTTTGTGGGACGTGCTTTGGGAGTGGTCCTGTCCCTGTGTCACACACCAGCCGAGCGTGGTAGTGTGGTACCACTGCACTGCACGGCCCATTGGTCCTGCGCGGATGCAAGTCACGAGGCCTTCTCTGCCCAAGCACCCACCGTGGAAGACTCCACGCGGTCCCAGCGGCACCTGCCCTTCTGCGGGAGGGACGTGAAAGTCATTTTCAGCAGGGAAGGCCGAGTGGCTCAGCCCTGTCACACAAGCGTCTCGCTCTTTCCAGTCCCCCTCCAGCTGTCCGCCTGCCACCCACGCAGCTGTGGGCGCCAGCGTGGCTGGCTGGTGGGAGCATGAGCAAAGAGATCTCGGCGTGTATCCCCCGACCCTTTCTCTCAGCAGCGGCCCCGCTGTGCGGCCCATAGCCGGCACCCCCGCGGCGGCCCCATCCCTGGGCACGGGGGTTCTCCAGCCAGGGCTACACTAGCCTCCCTGGGAATGCAGGTGCCAAGCCCATGGGGGTGGGGTCCCTGAAAAGGAAGGGCTGAGAACCCTGTAGTGGAAGGGTTCCCCTCGCTTTCACAGGGGTGCCTTCCCCCTCTCCTCCCATTTGGGGAGGGCATGGTCCCCGTCAGAGTGCTGGAAGGGAGCCGTGCAGGGCGGGGCGGTCGCAGCGCGTCGGGGGGCTCGTGGGGCGCGGTTGCTTTCTAACGCTCTCTCTACACTGTTCCAGGAAAGCTGGTCTAATGTTCTCTCTCCCTCTCCTTGTCCCTTTTCCTAGTCCCCACCGAAAGGTGCCACCATTCCCTACCGCCCAAAGCCCGCCTCCACCCCTGTCATTTTTGCAGGTGGTCAGGTAAGAGCCGACCCGCTTGCGGCCTCCACTGCCAACCTCAGCCTTTTACTGCAGCACCAGCCGCTGCCCGTTAGTGCGCTCAGGTTTTCTCGCCTTCTCGCTTGCATGCCTCCATCCCAGCCGCATCGCGCCGGAGCAGCTAAACCGAAAGCTCTTTGCTCGACTGCTCATGCCCCCTTCTCCCCCCGCCCAGCCCCGTAGCTCCCGCGATGGGAGAGCACGCAAAATTCTTCCTCTGGCCAACACCAAAACCCCAGCGGGCAGCCTGGCATGGGCGTCCGTGCCTGCCAATCCAGGCGGAGTTTGGCCCCGTTAAGGCATTGGATAGCCCTTTGAAGTGACCCTGAGTGGCCAGTGTCGTCTACGGCTCCGCCCACACAGAGTTTTGCTCAGGATAATCAACAACCGTGTATCAAGAATTGCACGACTTCACACCGGCTCCGAAAGGTGAAGGGAGCGCTATCCCCCTGCTCTCCTTTCTAGCTTGTGCTTTCGCCTGGCTTCCCGAGCGGCACGGGCTCTGGGAAACCCCGGGGGCCCCGCAGGCCCGTTTGGTGCCCCTCCCTCGGAGTGGGGCTGGGCGCCTCGCTGCACCAGGTTAACCGAAGCCATTTAACTCGGTTTAGTTAAGCCAAGCTAGAGAGGAGACTAGGGGGCTGGAAAGGGGCTGGCAACGTGTGACAGCGCGTTGGGGACCCCCGACCCTGCACCCGTAGCAGCAAGATGGGATTCCACCAGCCAGGAGAACAGGGGGGTAGGGGGCACGGGCCCCTGATCCCCCAGTACTCGACTTACTCTCTTCCCTTCATGCTTCCCCACCCTCAGCCTGACCAGCTCCCAGGCCCTGCACCCAGCCAGGTGGCGTCTCCGCCTCCCTTCCTTTGTCTCTCCCCCGGGGAAGAGCCTTGTCTGCTCAGGCTGGGACTGGGTGTCTGGCCAATGCGCATGTGGGTGAGTCCGTGGGAGTCACACAGCCCAGCCAGGTAGGGACACCGGGTTACAAAGCAGACAGCCCCCCCCGTGTCACACAAAGTGCCTCACGAAGCCACTCGGAGTTACAGCCCCGCTGCTGGCCAGGGAAGGGCCGTAAGTTAGGGCAGGAATTGGAGTCCAGCTTGCAACAGCACAGATAGCGCTTACGTTATCTATGTATCCATCTATCCCCACACTCCCTCTATCTATCTATCTATCTATCTATCTATCTATCTATCTATCTATCTATCTATCTATCTATCTATCTATCTATCCCCATACGCTCTAGCTAGTTATTTGTTCTTTGGGCTCCTAATGGAGCATAGGGCCTCCACAGCTACTCTAGCTGACCCCAGTAGCATCCCTGGTTTCCACGGGACTCCTCGCTGTTGCAGCGAACCGCTAACAAGGCGGGATTCTCCCAGTCACCAGCAATTCCCCTTCAAACCAGAGCGAGAGCCCGCAGAAAAAGGGGCCCCAAATCCCTAAAACACCCTTGGGTGCCCCGTTGAGCCCTCTGGCCGGATTTTCAGGAGGGATGTGCCGCTGCCGCAGGCTTTCCTGGCAGACCTGGGAGCCTGGCCCCACTGCCCTGCACTGAGCTGCTCCAGGGGGCACCCCGAGAACAGGCGTAGCAGCCGCTTGGGGGCGGC